TCCCTTAGAGTGATGTAGTCATGCACCCTCTGGACTTTGCAGCCGGCGGTGTCCTTTTGGAGGTCCATAGAATTATGGGCAGGTGGTTGTCATTTCATGTCATTATGGTAGGCTTAAAACTTTAAAGATCTATGATGATCATTTAAGTGAGTCTCTTAAAACAATTTTAGGATAATATGTTTTATTTCAGGCTTCAATAAATGGTATAGATAAGAAAGTCTTTTTATAGTATTATATCAATTGATATCATATCAAAATGACTATTCATTGATTTGATCAAACACAACATGTGGTTGGACAAAAAAGATTATTAGTGGGGTTATTTATTTCTCAAGTACCCATATTAGATTTGGATGTCAATCTCAATATTAATTGAAAGGTCCTAATTTAATGTGAAAGTTTAGGCATCACATTTTCACCCCTTGTCTACAAGAGGCTTAATTAAAGGATGTTGTTGGAGTAAAACTTGGCTGCTTTATTTTCACTCAAGTGTTATTATATTCAAAATTCATAACTCTTCACCTGCTCCTAAGCAACCATGGACTTCAGAAGCTAGTGAAATGCATGATATTGAGTTAAGGAAGAAGAAGGAACTAATGGAGCAAGAAGTTGTGAAGTTGTTGGTGGTAGAGCTGGTCGCAGTGGAGCTGGATCCGAAAGTGAAAGAGAAGGAGAGAAAAAATTTTGAATAAGTGATTAGATTGATAGAGATAAATGAGTATGAAATAAATGAGATGAAGGAGAAGGTGGTGGTGAAGATGTAAAGAAATTAGTAGAGTAAGCTTCAAAAGAGTTGATGGTGGATGCCATAGTGAATGTAATGGGCAAGGCCATGTGGAAAACTATATAAGAGATGAAGAGAAGAAGAAGACTCTAAAAGTTAGAAAGATGATGGGATTAAGGAAATGATAGATGGCTTGGTAAAGATGTTAATGGAGGTTATGACAAATATAATGCAAAGGTGGTGGCGCAAAAAGTGATGGTGTATGCTAAAAAGTTTATCGTATTCATGTAAAACCTTGTGTATATTCTTTCATCAAGTGAGGATCAACATCCCCATAAGTGGATGAGTGATTCTAAGGTGGCTAGAGATTCTTCATATTAATTTTTAGAAGTTTCCATGTATGCTAAGAGTGGTTGGCTCTGTTTGGAGATTAGAGTGCATGATGATAATGGAAGTGGGTTTGAAGATTATCCATTGGAGAATGGGTTATTTACGAAGAAATAACATGGGGATTGTAATAACCTGTATGCTGACTATGCTAAATTAATTTTTCTTATGTCATTATAATTCTAAATTATAAATCATCTTCTTCATAGCATTGATATTATAGTTTTTTACTTGCACAAAGTTTTTCATAATTTTTGAGCTATTGTGAAAATTCTTAAGAAATTGGTACATGTTAATACAAGTAAAGATTTTGGGACCGCTAGGTATCTGTTTTGCAAAACGATTTCACCAGTCTTTTAAATAAAATGTGTTATTTTATGATTATTTTTTTTTAAAATTTTTGAAGTCATGAATAGATTTATATAATTTTTCTATTAAAAATTGAATAAATTAAATAATTATATTAATATTATATTATTTTATTATAAAATATTTTAAAGCATTAACATCTCTTATTAAATCATTTATCCCATTAATTAAGTTTGGATAATAGAGATTAGCTTAAGGAAATGAGTGGGTTAAGTGAGGAGAGAGAAAATATTAGCTAGGATTTTAAAGTCGTGGAGCAATTTTGTTAGTCGAGCCTATTAGGAATTCACACATCTCGATGTAAGGAATCTTTACCCTATTTCTGATTTCAAAGATTTTATATTTTTAGTATTTTTTAGATCAAATTTGTGTTTATGTTGTAGAAAAATGAGAATAATTTTATATTGATAAAACTTTGATTGCATAACTTTTTAAATGTTATAGAGATTGATATTATAAATATTTTTGAGTATCTATTTGGAATTTTGTAGTGATTTTAAAAATACAGTGATTTTTGTCAACTAAAAATTTATTTTGACATCTAAAACTACTAATTTAGCTAAAGATTTAGAAAGTTACTTTATGCAATATTTGATAATTTAGTTAAATTATGAAAAATGTGAATTTTTGTGCGTCATGATTTTTTTTTAACACTTTATGAATTAAGCTCAATTATGCATTATTTGGAATTCATTGAAAATGAATATAAATATATAATTGATTATCATTTTTATTATTATAGTACTATGATTATAATGTGTGTCTATGAATCATGGATGCAAAATATCTTTCTCTTTTTATTCTATAGGGCAAAATGTTGCTAGAGAAGGAACTTCATGACCTTCCATAGAAGAACGTATCTAAAAGATGGAAGAATCTCAAAATAAGATCCTTCAACTTTTGCGAGAGATTTGACAACTGGCGCAAATATCACAGGAGGAGGTTCTTCTCCCTCGAGATTCACCATTGGCCGAAGATGTTCAACTTGAACATCTTCACACATAGATTCCTCTCCCTCCGCTAAGGAGGTATATGCAATCACATCAAGATGACAAACTTGCTAACACTTCAAATTCTACCCATACTTTACAGAATGGACGATAACCTAGCATTTCTCTGGACATCATTGAAAACTTAGTTTGACCGCATGTATTTGAGGTCCCTCGTAATGCCCTATGACATGAACCGCGATGATTGGTCTGAGAAGAGTTCCCCATTGGAGGTGTAAGAGAACCACTTCGTCAATGGGACGAAAGTCGGAAGGACTGTAGTCGGTGGATGACGTAAGTTAGGAGGATCATAATCGGCTAGCGACGGAGGTCGGAAGGACCGTAATCGGTGGGCGACGTAAGTTAGAAGGACCGTCAAGTAGAAGTCCAACAATGGACAGAAATCTAGCATCAGATAGATGTCTGACGAAAGTCCTACAACATGCAGAAGTCCGGCATCGGGTAGAAACTTGGCGACGAGCGGAGGTCTGACGTCGGGTAAAAGTCTGACTTCAGTTGGTGGCCGAGGAGAACTCCGGCATTAGATGTAGTTAGGGAAAAACACCAGCGTCACTTAGAGGTCGGGTGAAATTTCGGCGTCACTTGAAGTTCGAGAGGAATTCTGGCGTCACTGGGGCGTCGGGCAAAATTCCGGCATCACTCGGGCGTCTGGCAGAATTCCAGCGGTGGTAGTGGAGGAGTTTCTTCCCTCCAATCCTTCTGTTCTTCTTCTCTTCTTCTTCTTCTTGCTCTCCCCCATCTCAAGAAAAATGAGGGGTTTATTTATAGATTGCTGGAGTGGCATGGACTGTAAATAGATTAGAGATCAGGGGTGAATGTGGAGTGGTTCGGATGGACGGACGATACTGAATCCTTTGATCGTGGACCATTCATCAAACATTTGAAGGTCTTAATGATATTGGAATTCAGTGATCTTGGGCTCGTTGGATTCGTCTTGTCGAGCTGCTCGATTTGACTATAAGCATGTCACGTTTGGTACCCATTTGGTAATCCAAATTGTGGTTTGAACCATCCAACAGCGCTTCATGTCCTCGATTTGGACTCATTTGGGCTTGGATTTAGTTGAATTTGGTGTCGTTAGGTTCGTATTTCTGAGACGCTCAGTTTGACTATAAGTTTACTGAAATTGGAGTTCAGATTATTCCGAATTTAATTTTTGAATTTTTCAACTTGATTTTTGCCTTGAGATTCGTGCCCGATCAAGATAATTTTTTGATTACATATCAATATTGATGAAAAAAAAATTTCTACACTTTTACTTATAAATTTGCCCAATCTTAAAATTAAGATTGGTTTCATCCTTGCTAAACATAATGTTTAATTTTAATTAGAAATAAGAAGACGATATTCAAAAAATCTAACATAAATTAAATTAGCCAAATAAAATGACGCATTTAAAATAAGCCAACATTTTAGTGCATTACTATGAATGTACAAATTGTTTGACGTATTTAAAATAAGCCAACATTTTAGTGCATTATTATAATAATTATAAAATTTAGTTCAACTGTTTGGAATGAATGCATCAAAGACATTCTTTTTATATTTTTAATTAAGTATCCTCATCATTCTACTTTATAAATTTCAAATTTTCCTGAAAAAATAATTCCGATCAAATTATCATATTTTTAATATATTTTCTTCCAATACTACATAAAAATTAAGTATAATATATAAAAATATACTAAAGAACACTTGCCAAAACTATAGAAGATATTTATAAGAAATAAAAGCATCTAATTTACTAACCAAAGTTAGTAGCTTCTAATAACCATTAAATCAGAGAGTGAAGAATGAGAGCCTCTCTGACATCGATATGGCACCTAAACTTATTAAAGTAGCCATAAAGAAAATAGCATTAATGGATAGGACAAATGCCATTAATGACTGTCCATACACTTAAAGCCTGTGCTTATCACTGCATTGTTTTCTTCTCGTCTATTTTCTCTTTCAACCCAAACCCTGAACGCAGCATTGAATGCACCGATCTGCCAGCCATGGCCAATGGCTTACCTCCTCGCTCAGGCTTCCTCAGATAACAATAAATGATATTTACATTGCTCATTCATGGCAGTCATGAACAACAGCACAAGTACATGCAAGGTCGTCCTTTTACACTACCTTCGCTCTTGTTTATCACCTGGTTGCATGAGAAACAAGAATCAATGATGATATGAGAAGCAAGATTAGTGCAAGAAGGCCTCGAATTTCTGTAATCTTCTAGGAGTTTAGCGCATCCTCAATTGAACATCAATTATGTTGTATGATGGCGTTTGATCGCTCCAGTGGAATATCAAATTTTTCGCTATTTATATTACTGATGAACAAAGCTAGCGCTATTTTTCTATCATAATTGGATTTATCAAAGAAACGCTTAAAAAAGGATAAAGAAGATTATCTTCGTAGAAGCCCATAAAATGGAGTTCAATTGAAGATGCATTTTGGGTGGAAAAAGGAAGAAGGGATTTTCGATTGGAAATGCTTTTAGCTAACGAGAAAGAATAGCAAAATAAAGAAAAAAACATGAATACCAATCTCTTTTATGCAGAACATAACCGAGAAACATAGTTTATGTATTATAAGAGACGGGCAACAAATTAGACAAAGCATTTTTCACATAAGTTTAATCTGGTGCTCTTGCCTCTTAGCCTCTAATTCATCAGCTGAAGATTAATAGATGCTTGGGCGGCTAATGGATGGCAGCGGAATTGAGATTAAACCAAAATGAAACAAAACTCCATTGATGGAAGAGAGAAGCAAAAAACGACAAACTTTTCAAAGGAGCTCATAAGCAGAACTGGAAGGACTTGGAAGAGATTCTGGAGGAGATAAATAATAGCATGGTATAACATGTTGAAAGTCTCTTTCTTGTTTACAGCTGCAGCTTGTTAAGCTCCGAAGTGGCTGCTGAAATATCTTCCTCTGTTTCTTTCAAAGCGGGGAGGATGTTCGTAGCCGGTGGCTGCTGTGGTTGCCGCATAGGGGGCGCGGCACAGACTGGGATCACCGATCGGATTTGAACAGCCGGAGCAATGCCATGGGCATGGAATCGACCTGTGTTCATCATTCTTGGAACAGATATTGTTGAAGAGTTCCTTAATGGAGCTGCCCCAATTGGAATGTTGAGGCGAGGAGGGCTGAATGCCCGCGCAGCGAAGACTGAAGTGTTTGGATCTGCAAAAGGACGAGCTAGAACAGGAGAAGAGGATGATTTTCCTTGGCTAGCCTTCTCTTGTAATCGCTCTCCTTTTTTTCCATCAGAAAGGGTTGGGATCTCTTGTGATATGGGCTGGGATGTACTATTTCCAACCAGGGATGGAATGGGTCGAGAGGTCGCGTGGAATGTAGAGCTGTTAATCGTACCTTTGGACGAGGAGGAAGGCTCCTGAGGAGAAACAGAGGAATTTAAAGTAAACGGCAATGGTGACATGACTTTTGGTCCTGTAGAGAGGGCTGGAGCTAAAAAGGAGCAATTTTTTTGCTGTTGCTGAGATGGATGGATCAGAGAGCAGTCAGCTAAGGGCTCAAGGGATTTCCATTGTTGCTGGAACCTCAATGAACGGTGGGGTGAGGCAGCGGACGAGGTTCCATCATTGAAACCAACTAACTTTCTCTTCTGCTTCTGTTGTTGCTGCTGAAAATGCTCCCTTTGCTTCGATTGTTTGTTTTCCTCCTTGGGTTTGAGGTTGTGAAGGTATCTCACTACTTGTTCCTGCTCTTCTCCTCCACCGCCGCAGCCCTCACTCGCATCCTTCGGCCGGGCCAAGGAATCTAAATCAGGCACTGTGCGGAAAGGAATGTCAGTACAAACAGAACAGACAGATCGTCGGAAAGACAACAAGATAAAACCTTTATTGATTCATTTACTTGGCTTCAAGGCGAACCATGCGGCCATGGCGGCGTTCTTCTCTGCTTGCTTCTTGGTCTTTGCTGGATCGCCGGCGACGCACATGCCAGCAAGCTCAACAGCAGATGTGAAAACAGGCTGGTGGCCAGGCCCCGACCTCACAGTTGTGTACACCGGCAGTTTCAGCCCAGCCCTGTGAGTCGTCTCCTGGAGGAGGTTCTTATACACGCCGGTCTCATCCTTGACACAGAGACATAGAGAAAGATCGCAACTTGGAATCTAAGAGTGAATAAAAAAGGCATTTTTAGAGACGCAGAGGGAGGACAATCTTACCAGAACACGAGCGGCGAGGGAGCGAGAGGGGGCTCTCGAGGATAGATTGGTGAGAGCGACCTCCGCGGCGGCGTGCTCTGCCTGACGGAGAGTGGTGCAGTGGCTTGGACCTTGGAAGATCTCCCCATTAAAGTTAACCGAAGCTTTGAACCGAGGCGCATGATCTGGGCCTTCTCTCACGCAGGCATAAGATGGCAGATTGAAGCAGCTCCTCTGCGCTAGCTCCTGTAGCTGATTCTTATACATCCCTGAAACAAAACCTCAATTCTGCATCTTCTCTTCTTAACCAAGGAGGATTCTTTGGCGAAGGAAACTGGAAAACAAGAGGGCGATTCTTGTTCTTTTCTGGTAACCTTTTTTAGTTTAATTTCAACTGGAGCACGACTTTGAAAAAAGCACGGGTCGGTTTCCAGCGATAAGAGGCAGTGGGGGAAGGGGAAGGGAACGAGGGGGTCCAAAGGGAACCCAGAGGCCAAGGAGTGGCAGCGAGCGAGCTCGCGTCAGGGTCTGCCATTAATGGGGGCATTTAAAGCTTTCGGAGCCTTTTTGCAGTCTACTAGCCTTTCTATTACCGGCTGCTGTCTGTGTTCGAAATTGCTTCAGAGTTTTCCTTTCTTTTTACTGCGACCCACGAGGCTGCCTTTGGCCGGTCTTCACCGCGATTTCAAAATTTTGTTTTGTTTCTACGTCGAGGTTTTACTGGAATTTTTATTTGGTCCCGTGAACGTACGCTTCTTTAGGTTCGGCCACTAATGTAGTAGCGCCACGTAGAATGAAGAAAAGTCTTCGACCCGACCCGGTGTAATTTGGGTTGTCGCAGGTGCCTATTTTAAAATTCTTTACATCCCGAACAGGAAACCCATCAACACGCTTTTTGGATATATTTAAAATTTTTATCAACCCCGTGGATTTTTATTTGGATAAAGTACATTGGAAGGTTAATCGACTTCATGTTACTCTTCACCTCCTTCGCATTTCTAAAGCATTTTCCGTGATTTTGAAGCAAAACTCCGATCGAAAACCTCCCCAGATATAATGCCTGAGGTTTATTGCCGAAGAACTGTCGTTCTTGTCTTGTAGTTTATCTCCTTTATAAATTAAAAAAAAAGTATGTTTAGGGTTAGGGTTAACTTTGTATCGTTCTGTTTTAGTATAGAAAACTTCATGATAACTATTTGGGCGTTTGAAATCTATTATTTTGTTCGTTTTTTATACTCAGTATAGGATATAGTACTCGGTACTAATTGGTATTCGGTACTGATTGATGATCCTCGGTACTGCTCGGTACATTTTGGCATATGGTTTTTTTCAGATAAAATGCTCGGTATTTACAATAAAAAATTGAGTATTTCATTATAATATAATGTTCTTTGATGCCCAAAATGGGTTGGTATTGTTCGGTGATGATGATTGCCTCTCGGTATATCTCGGTACGTCTAGGTACAACCCGGTATACCTCGGTACAACCCTTTATTTAGGACTAAATCTCGCTATTTACACTAAATTTATGATTATTTTATATATAATATTACAATATACTATGATTGGCTCTCCTCGATATAACTAGGTACAGTTGTTACAACTCATTTTACGTCGGTAAGAGATGAAATTTTCAGAGAAAATGCTCGATATTTCCACAAATTTTATCTGAGAATATAATGTTGTTTCATGCTCGGTATTGGTTGGTAATGTTCGGTGATGATTAGTGCTACTCGGTACATATCGGTACATCTCGGTAAAAGCCTATATTTAGGACAAAATCTCGTTATTTACACTAAAAATATGATTATTTTAATATATAATATTATAATATACTATGATTGGCACTTCTCGGTATAACTAGGTATAGTCGGTACAACTCGGTATAACTTGGTATAGTCTGTACAACTCGGTGATGATTAGTACTACTTGGTAAATATTGGTACAAACCGGTACATCTCGGTACAAACCTTTATTTAGGACAAAATCTCTCTATTTACACTAAATATATGATTATTTTAATACATAATATTATAATATACTATGATTGGCACTCCTCAGTATAACTAGGTATAGTCGGTACAACTCGGTATAACTTGGTACAATCGGTACAACTCGTTATCATAACTAGTAATGGGGTTTTTACACTAAATATATGTGTACTTTATAAATAATATTTTGATATATGCTGATTATTACTATATGGTATAACTAGGTATACTTGATTCACCTCGGTACAACGATTTTTTTTCAGAAATAATACTCGGTATAGTTTGGTATTATGATTTTACAGTTTATATCTGATAGAATATCAACTTTATTATGCAGGGATATTGCCCCAAGATTCATTTTCAATGTCGAACGTTAAGTTTTAGAGAAGTTTGTAATGAGTTGGTTGTGAAATTTGGGGATTCGTTGGTTACAAGCTTACGGGAGCTAAATATTAACCAGTTCCTATACATGCCTTGACTCCCTCAGAATCTTCCACTTGTTTATATGTTATTATCGACGTAGGATATTCAATCTGAAAGTTTTGTTATTAAAAACCGGACGTTATCTTTCACATCTGATGAAGTAGCATTGATTATTGGCTTACCGAACAGAGGAATGAAATTTGAACTAGGGACTGCTACAACGGGTGGAAAAACAGCCAATGACATAAGGCATGATATTCTGAAATTGAATGTGTCAAGTCCGGTCGAGAATGTAAGGAGACAATTCATTGTATACTTATTGTCCAACATATTCTTTTCAATGGCCAACTTTCGAGTACAATCAACAATATTGGACGTTGCCAAGAATGTGGAGAACTTCGGAACATACAATTGGCCCCAATCCATTATGGATTTCCTCGTGGTTGAATTTAATACAATAGCAAAAAACGATCAAAAGGTCAATCCCTAGGATATGTTAATGGATTTGTTATGATTATAATTATGAGTATTTCTTACACATGAAATTATTTTATTTATTTATATATTGTATAAAATTTTTTAATCATTTTTACACTGAATTATTTTGTTTATTTATTTTGTATAGATATAATTTTTTGAACATACAAAAATTTACCCGGTACTGGATGATTTGGCACGACCCCGTCTCATTCGATGGGATGGAAAGTTTAATTATAGAGATAAAGATGTTAAGAATTTTGTGGTGTATATAAAATATTGAGTCATCATTTTCCAGCATATTTCACGTCAGAGCGAATTGGAAGTCCTGTTCACTCATCTTCAAGAACTGAATCTAACCATAACATTGTGGACGAAGTATCAAAATCTGTTGATAAAATTGTTGAGGAAATAACCAAAAAAGCAGATATTAAAGTGATGGAAGAGGATTTTAGGCTATCTGAAGATGAGGAATTTCCTTTCTCTTCATCAGCTAAGGGAGGAATTGCTCGTAGGGTGCAGCTCAGGAATGATAGGAAAAGGAAAAGGGTGAGGACTCCATTCACAGCAGGTGACAGGAAGAAGAAAAGAGTTCAGAATAGTTTTGCTCAGTTGGCAAAACCTCATGTTGAAAAGATTACTAAAAAAGAAACATCAATCACTGGAAGAAGACCTGTCACTCGAGCTTCAACAAGATTAATAGAGAAGGCAACTGATGCTAATAATGCTTTTGTGCGTACTGATGCTGCCCCTTCTGATACTGCTCCTTCCACTGAAACTCCAAGTGCTGCTGTTTCTGTTTCTGTTCCAGATGTACTCCCAAAATCTGTAGTTTATGAAGTTGATGAATCAAAAATCATTGAAAGACCGGCCGTGGAATTTTTAAATTACCCAGAAAGATTACTAATTAATGAAGAAAAACAGATTTCCATTGATAACTTTCTTAAGCAGTTCAATAAAAAGTGAGTTTATATTTGTCATTATATTACTGTATGAACACCAAGTACGTCGTTTTTAAACTAAATACCGAGTTGTACCGAGAAATATAATTCTTGGTACAACTAGGTGTTGCTCGGTATTTGGTATTCCTTAACTAGTTTTAACTGTATGAACACCAATTACGTAGTTTTTTTATAAGAAGTACCGTGTTTTTATAGTGAATACCGAGTTGTACCGAGAATAAAATTCTCGGTATAACTCGATATTTGCTCGGTATTTGGTATTCAATACGGAGTTTTTAGTGTATGAACAGCAAGTACCGTGTTTTTATACTCAATACCGAGTTGTACCAAGAATAAAAAAAATCTCGGTACAACTAGGCATTCATGTGTATATTTTTATTTTCTAATGAATATGAGATAAATCATGCAGGGATGATACTATATTTGAGAATGGAATTGCAACTATTTTCAGAAGCCAAATAGACGAATTGTTGCTATGCGAAGAGCTTGATAACAATCATGTGGACGCTTTTGCATCTTTACTTTCTGAAAAGAATGATCTGGTTCCAGGACTGAATCAATCTTTTCTATATGTTTCTTCTTTTCATTGGGTGAGTTATCATTTATAATAAAGATTTAGTGTGTATTTAACATATTCTCAATTAACTGAGTGAGTTTTTTTTCCAGGGATATTATTGTCAAAATAAAGAGACGATCACAACTTCATTTGTTGCAAATATCACCCAAGCTACTGTTAAGAATGCAAACCTTATATTTGTTCCCATTATAAATGAAAAACATTGGACTTTACTGGTTGGTAACCTGAGGAAAAAATATTGGGATTTTATGGATTCAATACCCAAAGCAACACACAAGGCTATTGCACCTGAAGTTGTAAGTCCTATTAAATATTATCTTTGGTTAAAGGTATGATATTGAATGTTAATATTTTAATTTTATTACCTTTTCAGATATATCATTTATACAGTGATACAAAAGATATTTTTGAGGATGATATCCGAACCTGGCCAATCCACACAATCCCGAACTTACCAGCACAAGAGAACAATGTGGACTATAGAATGTTTGTATGCAAATATATGGAAATAGTTATACAAGATAATATTATTCAATGGGACATCCATATGAACTGGCAAAGTCATATGGCTTTATTTAGGGCTGAATTTGCATATGACCTTTTTTGTAATAATATGAAATAAATTTTAGAAATTACATATACTATTTCTGTGTTTTCTTTACTGTGATGATACCGACTTATACCATAATCTTGTTAAACGCAGGATTGTATAGAAGTAAAATATTTACAATAAAAAGCCAAAGATAGTCTAATACCGAGTATTACATAGTAATACCGAGTTGTACCGAGAGTAAAAATTCTCGGTATTGCTCGGTATTTGATATTCCTTAACTACTTTTTACTGTGTGTACACCAATTCCATAGTTTTCATATGCAATACCTAGTTGTACCGAGAATAATAATTCTTGGTACAAGTATTTTTTAAAATTGTCGGTATTTTTCGATACCGATTTGTTGTAAAAATTCACAAAAGGACGCATAATTCAGAAACGAACACGTAATAAAGAAAAAAATATTCCTCTTATACCGAGTATAAAATTCTAATACCGAGTTGTACCAAGTATTACCGAGTTGTACTGAACACTTACATAAATGATAACTGACTTCCTGATTTTGCTGGTGTAAAATATAAACTTGTAGGAGGAATCTGATCTGTCGTTTTCACTTTTTTGGC